TCTACTGAAAGCAGATATCTGGGCTTTGTTTAGCTTCTATAATTGAAACTCTGTTGCCATCACTGCTGCTCCGCGCTCTGAGCCCGCTGCTGGCTGAAAGCAGCTATCTGGAGCTTGTTTAGCTTCAATAATTGCAACATTTTGCATCTGAAGCTCAGAGCTGGGCTGCCGCAGGCGGGGAACGTTGGCTTCCTCTGTCACTGGAGCAAGCAAGCCTCATGTTCGCTTCAAGCTGCCTGGCTGCCGGCCGCCATCTTGGCTGGCAGTTAATTTGCATATTGCCCTAATTAGCCAATGGGAAGGGTAGCGGATGTACGGCTAATTACCATGTTTCTCTTTAATTAGATAGGATAGATTATACCAAATAAATCTTACCTGTAGTTTTCTAGCACTTTGTTGTTGACACTTCTCTTTCTCAATCATCTGTTGGTAAAGTCTAGCTCTCAACACACGCAAAGCTATTTCTTTATTTTTTATCTGTGATCGTTCTTGTTGGCATTCTACTACAAGCCCTGAAAAATAACAGAGGTTAAAGGTAAAAACTGTAGCCTCCATAAGCCAAATTGAGATAGAAGTGAGGGGTCAGCTATAGTTCAATACAACTGGGGGCAGTGGTGAGGAAGAGACAAACTTGAGGAATATATTAAAGTTCCCCCTGGGTTAATTAGGGAAAGGTCACAAAGGATTAAGTACTTTTTATTATTTCTTGTTTTTTAGATTTAGCATACTTCAGAAATTATACTTGTTATGATGGTAGTAGTGATAGATGGCTATATTCTGATACTTAAATGAGGTATTTCCGATGAGAAGACTGAAAGCAGTTGCATCTGCAGATGATTACACATACTTTCATTCCAGAGCTTTGCCTCTCCATCCCAGTTCATCCAGAGACTTTTGTAGCTCAATAAAGTGCAAAATACTGTCACCTCCAATACAGTGCTGCTCCATTCTCTGTCCTGCAACCAAGGTACGTGCCCTTGACAGGAATCAAACCCAGGACCCTTTGGTCCACAGTCTGATACTCTATCTACTGAGCCAAACTGACCAGGGCTCAAACTCTTTCAAAGGAAGAGTTTATAGTGAATGTTTTCTCAGCTGTCTTGGTTCTAAAGAAAACTGATCAGCACATCTAAATACACATTTTGGTTAGCCAACTTCTGAATTTGGGTGGGTTTGACCCACTGTGGAGTCCAGTAACTAGCCCAAATCTAGCCCTGGAATGGTGATCCTTGAAGCTTTGGGTTGCTGTTTTGTTTTAAAAACATATTTTATTGATTTTTTACAGAAAGGAAGGGAGAGGGATAGAAAGTTAGAAACATCAATGGGAGAGAAACATCAATCAGCTGCCTCTTGCACACTCCCTACTGGGGATGTGCCCGCAACCAAGGTACATGCCCTTGACCGGAATCGAACCTGGGACCTTTCAGTCCGCAGGCCGACGCTCTATCCACTGAGCCGAACCAGCTAGGGCTGGGCTGCTGTTCTTAATTTTGTAACTATCACTCTGAAAATGTGTCCAATCCTGATCCCAGGTACATATATAACAGAAGGCCAGCTGTACTGATAGGGTGGTAACTATTTGCAGGAGATTTTTAAAATGTGTATAAAATTCTACTCTCAAAACTACTGTCACAGGGTTGTGCCTCCACACAACCCAAAACTGCTACTGACTTTATCTTCTTGTCTTCTCTTATTTTCTAACATTGTCCCTGACAAAAACAGGCTGAATTCATTAAGAAAGGGTGCAAATTCCATAGTGTGCAAAGCCCGAAGGTAGAAACCAGATAAGAGACTCAAGTACCACAGGTTTAAGCTGGAAAATGCCACCATGATGAAAGAAAAGTGAACTTCAGATGAACTATGACTAATTAACGTACTAAAATCACCACAGGGTTGAGGAGTGGGGAGAGATTCTGCCAGATACATTTTAGACTGTGAGCAGAAGGAAGATGATAGCACATGTCCTCCCGTCCTATGGAATGTGTACCTCCTTGAAGAAATCTGATCCTCTAGATTTTTTACGTTTCTTACGTCTTACCTTGATCCTTTAAAATTAACCAATCATTTCACCGGGGCAAGAAGGTGTTTTTTGTTTGTTTGTTTTTTATAGCAAAGATGGAAATTTATTGAAGAACAAGTGGGGAAGAGGAAAGAATCTCACAGCACAGACTTCCACATGGGGAGAGGGAAGAGTCCCCAGGAAGGTGCTTTTTGAAGATGGGCTTACCTTCCTCCATTCTTTGATCAGAGAATAAAATTTCTGCTCTGCTTTACCAAACTCTGTGTCCTTCTACTGGCATGAGCGACCTTGATTCTGGGCAGAAGGACCTTGATTCTGGATCCCTGACTCATAAGGATCCGTGACGCTATATTTCTACCCTGTCTAAACAAGCTACAATCTACACTTGATAATACTTTAAGAAGGACACCTAGGTTTCACCTCTTTTAGTTTAAACTTATTTCTTGACTGCTTCATTGCAGCCACATGTTTGGGCTGGGGTGCCAACTGGCTTCCATCTCCCAGGCATTTCCCCGGAACTGTCTTAAACTAGCTAACCTTTTTTTTTTCCTACCACCCAAAAGAATATGAAAATTTCCATGTCATGATGGCTAGTCAGTCATAAGCTTTCTTTCAAATGAATCTCATCAGCTGACCTGTACTGATTTTTGCTTAGACACTTGCATTATTCCTATCCAGTGGGTCAGTCTAGAACTTATATAGCTTATAACTCATTAATTCCTAAGGAAATCTTGTGATTATATATTTTAATAACTTCTATACAGGGGTATTTATTCATAAATATGCCCTCAAGAATAGAGGATTTAGGGGGTGAAAAGATATGTTGGATAATAGAAGAGCTATTAAAACAGAGTGCTGGGTTTATTTAAAAAAAAAAAAAACTATAGAAGGGTTTTTGGAAAAAAGTTTTCTCAGTGTTGTTTCAGTGCTCTATAAGAAATTCCAAAATTGTAAGTAGTAGGAGTACCAAATAGTATTAATATATATTTGCTGAGCCATGGCCAGGTGGCTTGGTTGGAGTGTTGTCCAATACACCAAATGGTTGTGGGTTTGATTCCTGGTCAGGGAACATATGGAGGTTGCAGGCTTGATCAGGGATCAAGTCGGAGTGCATATGAGAGGCAATCTATTGACGTTTCTTTCTCACACTGATGTTTCTATCTCTCTCCCTATCTTACTCTCTCTAAAATCAATGAAAACATATCCTTAGGTTAGGGTTAAGATTTCCAATTATAAATGAGAACAAAATTCCGTATTTTTATTCTAAAAAGCCCATTAAATTTTCTTTAACCTCTTTGAAATTGAATTGCAGCCCAGCTGATATTGTTCAGTGGTTGGAGTCAATCTATGAACCAGGAGATCACAGTTTGATTCCCAGTCAGGGCATAAGTGCAGGTTGTTAGCTCGAACCCCACAAGGGGTATGCAAGAGGCAGCTGACAGATATTTATACCTTTCTCTCCCTTTCCCTTCCTTTCTCTAAAGTCAATAAAAACATATTTTTTTAATAAAAGCATTAGCCTTGTAGTAAACTGGGTTAATTTCATCTTACAGCTTTTGAAAGATATAGGGAGACTTAGAGTCAAAGAAAACTATGCAAATAAAAACAAAGAAGTAATTATTAACTTTAGAAAATAAAATCATAGTATATTACTTGTCTCAGTAGTGAACACTATTTACCTGCTTCTTACATAAAAAAAGTGGAAGATTAATTTTGCCAAAATACTCATCTACTACATTAAGTAGTGAATATATACTCTTATACTTAATCAGATCTGCCTATTAATTAGAAGCACAGATAATTACGAGAAAAAAATAGCTAAAAGAGTTTAAAGTGATTGCCTCTTGAGTAAATTAGGGTCAAGGAAGGGAGGAGGGAGGAAGAAAAGGTCCAGGGAGCTGCTATTTTTTGTTATAGGACTTTATCATTGGACTATTTTTTGTTTTTAAAACCAACATTTAAAAAAATACTGATTTCAGAGAAGAAGGGAGAGGGAGAGAGAGATAGAAATATCAATGATGAGAGAGAATCATTGATTGGCTGCCTCCTGCAGGGCCCCTACTGGGGATCCAGCCTGAAATGGGCATGTGCCCTGGCCAGGAATGAAACCATGACCAACTGATTCACAGTTGACACTCAACCACTTAGCCACACCTGCCAGGCTATTATTGGACTTTTAAAACCATATACATGCAACGTAAAATTGAGTTTAAAAAGAAAAGAAATTTAAGTATTTAAAAAGTTTAAAGACCTGAAAAATGATAGAAATCTTTAAAATTGCATGAAGGCCCTGTTTGGGGGCAGCATCCGGGAGGCGGTGGGGAGACGTGGATGGGAGTCATGAGGGCCACCTACGTGGGCACGGGGTGTGGGGTTCAGTCCTCGACGGGTGTCCCAACCGTGGCCACGTGGTCCCTGGGGCACCCCTCCACGGGAATGGCTTGCTGCGCAGCCTCACCTTCCAGGTCCTGCCTCCGGAGCCCTGGGCACAGCCCGGCAGGACTCAGTGATTGTGGGAAAAGTGCAATAAACTGAAATGTGGGCCCAGCAAAAAAAATAAAAAATAAAAAATAAAATAAAATAAAATAAAATCGCATGAAGGACTTCAAAATTACCTCATAGTATAACAAAATTACCAGTATTCAAAGTAACCACGTTCATGCAGCAGAGCCTAATGGAGCTAGCAGTCAGTCTACACAGTGACAAAATCGCATGGCATGTCCAATATTACTTGCAAGTTTGTTTTTAGGCTGGGGTGCATCTGGCTGTCTACCCCTGTGTAGCATACTTGGACAGCTTCCCTGAATAGGTCCACTCACTCTCTGCCTCCCTTGAGAGAGGTATCTTTTCCAAACAGAAGAGAAATATGAACACACTAGTAGCCCGGTGCACGAAATTCGTGAACATTAAAAGGGAATTAATTGCCCTAACTGGTTTGGCTCAGTGGATAGAGCATCAGCCTGCGGACTCAAGGGTGAATGGGGTTCCTGGCTGGCAGGCCACTGACAGCTAGCTATCCAACAGCGGATTTTGTGAGGAATGGGGCTCCCTCCTTTCTACTGTCAGGGTCTGGTTTGAAGAACGGCCATGCCCCCTGTTGGGCCAGACCCAGAGTTCTACCACGCCATGGCCTCCACCTCAGCAACTCAGGACTGACTGCTGCTGGGCGCTCCTGGTGCTCTGAGGGTGGGATCTTCTCTCAGGCCACACAGGAAACACTGGGGAGGGTGCAGCCCTTGGCAAAACGACCCAGGATTCAGTGGGTCCACGTTCTGAGGGCAGGTTCCTGCCTCAAACCCCACCCTCACCAGAAACAGCTCCAGGAAACAGCTCAGGGGAGGGCACAGCCATTGCCAAGAAACCCCTGCAGGACTGACTTCCTTCCACTTGGTCGAACTTCTGGCTTGATATTACACTCAAACAGCTCTGGGAAACAGCTCGGGAGGGCGCAGCACTTTGCAAAGCGACCCAGGATTCAGTGGGTTCACGCTCCAAGGGCAGGTTCCTGCCTCAAACCCCGCCCTCACCAGAAACAGCTGGAGGGAGGGCGCAGCCATTGCCAAGACAAGCCCTGAAGGACTGACTGACTTCCGCTTGGTCGAGATTCTGATGGTCGTGATGAACACCACCCATGGTTTTTATATAAGTAGATTTGGAACCTCAGACCTATAACCCCAATGTCACCTTTAAAGAGTTTTTGTAAGGAACCAAACACTCACACATGACTCTTTCCTTCTAAAAGCTAAATAGTTTTATAAGACATGAAGAAAAATTAAAAGTACAAGAGCAAAAAGACTTGCTTACCTGTGGGGACATGGACAAGTCTGACAGCACTATCAGTTGTATTAACATGCTGGCCTCCAGCTCCTTTGGCTCGAAATGTATCTATTCTCAAATCCTTAGGGTCCACTCTCACATCTACCTAGAACAAAAAGTGTAACGTAAGTAAATTCTACACTCAACAAATACTTTAATACTAAATTTTTTCCCAAATTTTTCAAATAAACTGTATTGCTTTGGGTCATAAATCATAGCTATTAGACTAAGAGGTGAAATAAACTCCCTATTTCAATGGATACTGTTTTTTAATAATGACTTAAGATGCTATGAGATCATTAAGTTATGCAATCTTTCAAGTTTCATCAGTCGTCATCCCACAAAGCTACATTAGATAGAAAATTTTGTAAAATATATGTATGTATGTATAATGTATCTACATATAAAGTTAATACTTACTATTCCAATTCTGTATTTGCAAATTCACCTACTTCCTAAAATTTGTTTCCCAAATCAATTATTACAGCACTTTCACAGTCATTAGAAGATATGCACAGAGCAGCAAACTTCACATTGCTCTTCATGTGCACATTCCCACCTGAGAACGAACAAGGTGACACTCTGCTTTCTTTTTTTTTTTTTAAATATATTTTTTATTGATTTCAGAGAGGAAGAAAAAGGAAGAGAGAGAGAAACATGAACGATGACAGAGAATTGATTGGCTGCCTCCTGCACAGCTCCTACTGGGGATCAAGCCTAAAACGCAGGCATGTGCCCTGACCAGGAATTGAACCATGACCCCCGGATTTATAGGTCAACAATCCACCACTGAGCCACATTTTAAAAGCTTTGTGGATTCTGTTTTATGTAGAGAAGTGACTTCTATTTAGAACAAAACATCTTGGTCAGAAATAAAAGGGGCAACTTTACCTAGGGAGGAGTTAAGGATTTCTCAAAAGTGACTACAAAGTTCAGTAGGTCACCCTGAAAAATCACTGAATTCCCTAGAAGCTAAGACTTTTCAGTGTAACAACCATTTACAAAGAGTAAGTTTTCAATGCCTCCTGGTGAGGTTACCTCATGTGGTTGAGGAAGGACAATAACTGACATTGTTCCTGTGTGAATACGCTGCATCCTTGATGACAGGCCCACCTCAGGGATTCGCTGAACTCGGTGAATCCCACCTTCATACTTCAAATGCTTATAGACATTGTCACCAGAAATTCGGGCAGCTGCATGATGTAGTCCACCTAGGAAAAAATATCCAGAAATGATTAATGATTTCTAATTTGAAAGGATCAAGATCTTAAATGTCCTTAATCTAAGGCCTGAATGTGAATATAGCTCCTTAGATGAGAACATAAAGTAGGTAAAAAATTATTTTCCAAATGTAAATGTATTAATATATAAAAAGAAACACACCAAAATATTATGTACAGTTATCTCTGAGGAACAGAATAACAACAGATTTTTATTTTTCTTTTTATACTTTTTTTTCTTCTAAATTTTCTATAATCACGTTTTACTTTTATAAAAATACTATTAGAAAAAAAAATACTAGGACATTTTCTTCTTGAACTACCCTATGCCACCTTAGGATAATATGGTGCTATATAAAAAAGACTGCTCAATTACATAATAATTTGATAATGATGAATACTATAGGTCAGTGATGGCGAACCTTTTGAGCTCGGCGTGTCAGCATTTTAAAAAACCCTAACTTAACTCTGGTGCCGTGGCACATATAGAAATTTTTTGATATTTGCAACCATAGTAAAACAAAGATTTATATTTTTGATATTTATTTTATATATTTAAATGCCATTTAACAAAGAAAAATCAACCAAAAAAATGAGTTCGCGTGTCACCTCTGACACGCATGTCATAGGTTCGCCATCACTGCTATAGGTCATCCCAAGGTTTCAAGGATCTATCGAAATGTAGCTCTTACTTATCTGTTGAGTGGAAAGATTATCACAAAAGAATCTTAATGCTAGTTTCTTATCAAATGTGCTTTTAAAAAATGTTTTTATGCAGTAATATACAGATATAGAAAGCCACATGAATCAAATGTATGACTTAGTGACTACAACGTCAAGAAAAAGAACTTTGTCAGTCATCCTAAATGCCCTTTCACATGCCCCTTCCCAGTTACAATCTCCTTCCTTTCTCATGAGTAACCATTATTCTGAGTTTTATTCCTTTTTTAATAATAATTGTATTACCTGAATGTGCTGCCTTAGGCACCACATAAGTTAGTCTTATCCATTTGAAAAAGTTTGATTGTCTTTTAAATCTCTTAATCTCATCATCCATCTCTTTTGTTTTCTATAAATTATCTGTTGAGGAATCTGGGCTATGACCCGTAGAATTTCTTACAGTCTGGTTTTGCTGATTGCATACTCTTCAAAAAATATTTATTTTATTTTATTGATTTTTTTAACAGAGAGGAAGGAAGAGGGATAGAGAGTTAGAAACATCGATCAGCTGCCTCTTGCACACTTCTTACTGGGGATGTGCCTGCAACCGAGGCACATACCCTTGACTGGAATCGAACCTGGGACCTTTCAGTCCCCAGGCCAACCAACGCTCTATCCACTGAGCCAAACCAGTTAGGGCTGATTGTTTACTCTTGGGAAAATTCAACCTGTGCTGTTGCCCTCTGTATTGTCTGCAACTGGGCAGCTAGATCCAGAGACTAGATCAGACAGGAGCTTGAGCTCCTTGGTAAGACAATAGGAAGCACATATTGTCTGGTTCTCTCTTTTTATGGTCCTGCCAGCCTTTGATGCTTAATTGTAAAATGGTTATAGTCTATCATTTCTTTTTCACTTTTAAAATATATATATATATTGATTTCAGAGAGGAAAGAAGATGGAGAGAGATAGAAACATCAATGATGAGAGAGAACCACCGATCGGCCATCTCCTGCACACACCCATTGGGGATTGAGCCAGCAACCCGGGCATATGCCCTGACCAGGAATCAAACCTCCTGGTTCATAGGTTGATGCTCAACTACTGAACCGCCACGCCAGCTGGGCTCTTTTTTCACTTTTAATTAAAGTGAATTTATAAAGAGATATTCCCCTTGCCTAGTACTTGATTACCCACTGATACAGTTACATAGGAAAGGCAGGCTTAATGCTTGATTCTATTCCTTTATGTTTTACTAATATATCTTTTTGTTCCATTGCTTTATAAAGAATGGAAGGGAGGGAAAGAAACATCGATATGAGAGACACATCAATTAGTTGTCGGGGATCCAACCTGAAACCCAGATATGTGCCCTTGAACCTGAGACCCTTTGGTGTGGAGGCTGCCATTCTAACCACTAAGCAATATGGGCAAGGCCCAATATCTTTCTTTTAACAATATAATGAATTAGGTAATTATTTTTTTATATATCACTGTGAACTCAAGGATTTGAACGCAGTCAGCATGTTTAAATCAATGAGAATTATTGATTAAAATTCCACTTGCCCCATCTTTGGCCAGTGGGAGCCTCTTCAAGTTAACTTCTGAGTTCTTTTGACATGGCTCTTTTTTATATTTTTTTATTAATTTCAGAGAGGAAGAGGGAGAGATCGAAACATCAATGATGAGAGACAATCATTGATTGGCTGCATCTATAATAATAAAAGCATAATATGCTAATTAGACCAGACAGCCGAACGACCTTCCGGACGTCCTTTCGGACAAAGCCGCAACAGCGGAGGCTGGGGCAGAGGTGGTTAGGGGCAATCAGGCAGGCAGGCAGAGTGGTTAGGGGCATCAAGCAGGCAGGCCGAAAGGTTAGGGGTGATCAGACAGGCAGGCAGAGTGATTAGGAATGATCAGGCAGAGGCAGTTAGGGGCGACCAGGTAGATAGGGGAGCAGGTAGGGGTGATCAGACAGGCAGGGCCCGGGTAGGGGGACAGGCCGACAGGGGAACAGTTAGGGGCAATCAGGCAGGCGAGCAGTTAGGAGCCAGCAGTCCCGGATTGCAAGAGGGATGTCCGACTGCCAGTTTAGGTCCGATCCGCAGGAATGGACATCCTCCGAGGGGTCCCAAATTGCGAGAGGGCTGGGGTATGGGATCCTCCCCACCCACCCTCCATCCCCGTGCATGAATTTCATGCACCAGGCCTCTAGTAATGATATAACAAGATATTCCAGGATTATTTTGAACATCTGCCCCACACTGGAACCAGCTATTTCTCCTTTCAAAGAGAAAGAATATTTTAAGACCACAATTGAGTGCTAGGGATGTTTACTGGGCTGGTCATTGTTTCTAGGCCTTTTCAGTGATCAGAGATAGAAAATATCTCATGAGTTCATACTAATGTTGGGAGACAATTCTCTACCAGTTTCTTCTGTTCAACCTGCCTGCCCTTTTGTTCCAGAAAATCTTTTTGAGGGTGTTTGTATAGTGAACAGCTTTGGAGATGATGTCTACCTCTAGAGCAGTGATGGCGAACCTATGACATGAGTGTCAGAGGTGACACGTGAACTCATTTTTTTGGTTGATTTTTCTTTGTTAAATGGCATTTAAATATATAAAATAAATATCAAAAATATAAATCTTTGTTTTACT